AGGTAGAAAAGGCAATCGCGATCTTAAAAGGGAACAAAGCCCCAGGCCCCGATGGGTACGACATAGGGTATTACAAGAAATTCAAGGAAGAATTGGCCCCCCACCTTACCTCTTTATATAACCACTTCATGACAGGCGGTGAGCCGGATGCGGACATGGCATTGGCCAACATCACGCTTATCCCCAAACCCGGGAAAGATGCCGAATTGGCAGCAAATTATAGACCCATTTCACTGATCAATTCGGACCTCAAAATCTACGCAAAAATCCTGGCGGCCAGGTTAGCGCCGATGCTCACACGCCTGATTCACTCCGATCAGGTGGGGTTTATACCCGGTAGGCAACTGTACGAAAACACACGCAGGGGGGCGGTGCTCACATGGTACATGCAAATGTCCGAGCGGCCTTCATTGGCCTTGTCCCTAGACGCGGAGAAGGCCTTTGACAGGGTGCAATGGCCATACCTGTTTGGCCTGCTGGAGGAATGGGGCTTCCCGGGGACATACATCCAGGCCACACGCGCCCTATATACCAACTTAAGGGCCCAAACCCTAATAGCAGGAGCCACTAAGACCCCCTTCCACCTTCACAATGGCACACGGCAGGGCTGTCCTCTCTCCCCACTATTGTTCGCTATTTCCCTAGAACCGCTCCTACAAGCCATATGCCAGCATCCACACATACACGGAATACGGGCTGGGGGAAAAACCTTCAAAGTCTCTGCATATGCGGACGACGTAATGCTGACCCTCACAGACCCTCTGACCTCCATGGAATACCTGACAGAACTCCTAGACAACTATGGCACCCAAGCGGGTTACAGAGTAAACCTCACCAAATCCATGGCACTATCATTCCATCTCCCGACACAGGACAGAGTCACTATACAGAATAGATACCATCTGCCCACCACAGCCGACAACATACCCTATTTAGGGATCAAACTCACGGCGCAGCACGAACACTTACACGACACAAACTACTCCCCATTGATCCGTACACTTATAAGGGACCTGGAGCAGTGGACAGACAAAACCATCTCATGGCTAGGTAGACTCCACTCAGTTAAAATGAACATTCTCCCTAGAATACTGTTCCTGTTCCAGGCCCTGCCCACACCGATCAAAAGGAGTGACCTAACCACACTCCAAAAGGCAATAGACATGTTCATTTGGCAAAAGAAACGGCCCAGAATAGCTAGAAAACTCCTATACCGGCCCAAAAACAGAGGGGGACTGGGACTACCGAACTTGTACATATACTACCTAGCGGCGCAGACAGCGCAAATCGCATACTGGCACTCCACACCGGACACCCGACGGTGGGTGGAACTTGAGACATCACTAATGGGACAAGATCTCCCACAATTCTACCTCTGGTTACATAGGGCACACAGAGCACTCCCCAGAGTAACCTGTCCAGCAATAACAAATTCCCTGAGAATATGGGACCACATAGCAGTCAAGTACTCTTTAAGCAGGTTCCCCTCCCCAATGTCCCCTGTACTTCAGAACCGATCCTTCCAACCGGGAATGACAGCAGGCGACTTTAGTGGCCTCGAGAGGGCAGGTATACAGAGATACTGCCACCTATACAAAAATGATCAAATAGTCACTTACGATCAGCTCAGGGTACAATCCCCCCTAACAACCAGGGATTTCTTCCGCTACCTCCAATTACGAGACTTCTCTAGCTCAAAAGAAGTCAAAGAGATAGCCAGCCTCCCCCTCACCTGGTTCGAGAATATATGCTACCAAGAAACACACCCCAAAGGACTCATATCATTATTGTACTCACATCTCAGCGGGGAGGCCAAAGAATGGGGGGAATTACGTTACACAGATCAGTGGGAGATGGACCTGGGTGAGACTTTAGAGGGCTCCGACTGGCAAGATATATGGGAGGCCACAGCCAGAACATCAATATGTGTCACCCTGCAAGAACAATCATTTAAAACACTTTTCAGGTGGTACACCACACCATTAAAACAATACCGCATGCAGATCACTGCCACAGATCAATGCTGGCACGGTTGCGGGGAACGAGGCACCAAGTGCATATGTGGTGGAAGTGCCCCTTGGTACAAGCATACTGGGTTCAAATTATCAGCCTGAGCACAAACATACTGCAGAGGCCACTACAGCTAGACCTCTGGGCCTGCCTACTCTCCAGACCAACGGTCGGCCTCCCACGCCCAGAGCAACAATTATTAAACATGATTTAGCTAGCGGCACGCAGGGCGTTAGCACAGAAGTGGCGATGCCCGGAATTACCCCCGGTGGCCCTGGTCCTAACAAAGATAAAAGACAATTACATAATGGATAGACTAACCTCCCTAGTCAGACACACCACTAAAAAGTTCACCAGAACTTGGGAGTTATGGGAACAATATCAGGAAAACACGGCGGGTTGATAAGAGACTCAAGCACACACATGGGAGGGGGAGCGGAGGGGACACACGACTCTCGTCCGGGCTGCGGGCACGGATGCACCGACATACTGCACTACCGGACGCCAGGTTTAGTTCCATATATGTTTTATATGTTTTACCCAAAGGAATATTTCGAAATGTTAAATGAGTATTAGTTAACAACCATCTAATGCCATGCCATTCCAGGGGACATATGTACTTAGGCCAAGACTCGATAGACAGCCACGTAGAGGTAGTGTGCTAAAACACTAAATAGCAATTCAGCCACTGATGAGACTGGAAGCGCTAGAAAACAAGCACATCAGTTGTAGATCACTGCTCTTCTTCTCTATACTACTGAACCACTGAAAAAGGCTTCTGTGTAAGCCTATACAAGTATTAATGTATGTACCTCTATTGCGGCCTCTACGTAAGCCTATACCCTGACAAGATGATACGTTCATACAGCGGCTTCTGCGAAAGCCTCGGCCGTGTCACAAATGTGCACTTTATTATTGGCTATGAAAAAATACAAAAAAAAAATACAAAAAAAAAAAAATTATCACACGATAAACATCTCCTGGACTACAGTGGCAGGCACGCTAATTTATTTTATTACTGTTTTTAAGTTCGTATAATTTCCCATGCATTTGTTATGATACCGTTAATTATCATTAGAACATAAATACACCAACTGAAGTGTCACATGAAACCACAGTAAGGTCTTAAAGATGAACTAGGACACGTAACATCAGCAACCCTCATGACGACAGACAGACAGCCGCAAAGATTAGGGATATCAATATGCAAACGTGTACTAACGCTTTACCCTTCCTTTCTGTACAACCAAACTGTCTGAATATGTAATGTGGCTTCTGCGTAAGCCTATACGATGTCACAAATATGCATTTCTTTTTGGTGAAAAAAAAAGAATAAAAAAAAAAAAAAAAAGACCTGGATCTGGAATCAAAACTAGTCTGCTTTGCTTTGAGACTTTTATGTTTGGGTTGGTGTTGCCAGTGGTGAGCTTAATTTTACCAACAGCTGTTTTTTAAAATAAATATTATAGACACTGCTATAGCTATAGACACCACCCTGCGTCTACCATATTGCTATTTTATTTTATTTTTTTTAGATTTGATTTTATCCTGTTATATCTTTGAAGCTTAAATAAAATATCCCTGACTTCTGCCTTTGGATCTCTGTGTGCTGCCAAGAGAGAGATATCGCCAAGCCTGTACAGGCACCCTGTTTTTTTATTAAACAGAGCCTGCCATGTCTCTGACTCATTTGAGTGTGATTTCACCCCTCACCTTGCACTATTTCAGTGTACAATTTTACACTGTTTTTTCTTTTTAATGCATTTGGTCTAGATAATTTATGTCTACTCATGGATCTCATACACTGTTTGACAATGTAGTGTGTCTCATATTCTGCTTTTTACTAATATATATGTGTGTTTGTGTGTATATTTATTTAATATGTGTTTAGGCTGACATGGACCTACATGTGCCAGTGCCAAATCATTGGATTGTACATATACAATTTGTGACCAATGGTTTGCATTTCCCTGTGCCCTCTATGATGGAGCTCCTGTACTCCACCCGTGTACTTCCGCTCAATCCACTTCCTAGCCGTTGGGGATGGAGACTGGAATGCTTGACCCTCAGTCGCCAAAGCTTGACTGGGGTCTATCATGAACTCTTCCACCTGACCAGACTTTTCTTCCAGGCGGTTAGCATCCTCTCTGCCTATTGCTCTGCTTATAGTGATTACATAGGCACTTGCGGCTCTCAGGCCAATGCAAAGTATCCTGCTCCCAGTGATGGTGATTACCATCACACCCTTTATTTGCGATTTCTAAGATGGTAACTATCTGCATTTGTGTGTTGTATGATTTATACTACCTTAGCTAAATTATCTTAATTTAAAAGAGACTAAAACATGGTTGATCTTGATTTATTGTGACTAAATCAATGTCAACAAGTGAGTCACAATGTTATTTATCTTTTTTTTTTAAATGGTCATTATATTCTAAAATTTTTAGAATCACCAAAAATGGTCTTACTCATGTTTAATACGTTTATCGTATCTGCATCAACATATTTATAAGCTTTCTAACATGTAAAAAAAATCTTTAATAAAAACTAACATTAACGTTTAATTAGCAGCAGGTGTAAAGGTTTCATTTAATAATATAATGCAGTGATATTTTTCTTGGAATCATGTTGCCATGCCAAGGGTTCAATTAGAAGCAATATTGAACAAGTATAGGGAATAATATTAAATGTTAACACATTGAGACACCAATTACTCATGTGACAAGATGTGTTTGGTGGGAGCTCCTCAAGAGCTGTAATGGAGAGAGGTAAGAGCAGTCAAATTGATTTTTTATTGCTTGTATTTTAACATACCTTTTCCATGGCATTTTTTTTCCAATTATGCTTTGCTAATATATTGTAAAAAAATAAATAAAAAAAGATTAATGTTAGGTAAAAACCCTTGCTTTTATTGTTTTATATTTACTGTTATATGACTATATTCATTTGCTTTTTCCTTCAGATGGCTAAACAAAAAATGCAAAGTTGCTCATATATCAAAACCGGAAAATAAATAACTAAATGAAAATAAAAAGGAAAAAGATGTGTATAGAAAATACTTCTCCCTTCACAACCTTCTTGCAGCCACCGTCTTCATTGATCAGTAGACAATATTCTCTTGGCACAGATAGAGCAACATCAAGCAAAGGAAATTTACAGTCTCGTAGAAACAAATACAGAATTAGAAGCATCAGAATGTGATGATCTGGTTCCAGTAGATCACAAGTGTAGCATTGAGCCAATAACAACTGGAGATGTTACTGCAGGTTACAGTGGTACAGCAGCAAATCATTTTGACATTAAAGAGAAATATATATCTGATGTTTCCTCTGAATCCGTCACCGAGTCTGCTGTACTTATGGATGAAGAAACTGAAATGGAACTTGAAGAGCCATCAACGATCATCAAGTGATCATGCTTTCTGGCTTGAAAGGAAAAATAAAATAAAAATAAAATAAATAGATAATTATCACAGAATCACTTTGATAAAAAATTGGCCCTGTTCAAGAAAAGGCCTATACGTTATCAAAAGATACCAACAGGAGCTTTTCCTCAGAAAATGAAATTCGAGAACACTTCTAGAATTTTTGCCCAGTATACAATACAACATCTGAAGGACTAACCTCCTTTTTACTGGCCTATTTATAGAACAATCAGATTGCAATTAAAGATATGAGTTGCCAAGGTTATGATAGTGGTGCCAATATGAAAGGAAAACATAATAGCTTGCAGCAAAAAACAAAATACTCAATGTCAACCTAACAGCCGTTTTTTGTTCCATGCAGTGCACATACTCTCGTTTTGTTTGTCAGTGATGCTACAAAAAATGCATACCTGACTGTAGATTTTTTGTCATCATTTAAGAACCATCCTTTGATCGTCCCTGAATAGGGGTGTGGTTCAGGAGTGTGTGTGTGTGCACGCGCGCATATGTGCATATGTTTTGGAGTGTATGTCAACATGCATTTTCTGTGTGTGTTTCTGAGAGTACAAATTTGAGAGTATGAGTCTGTGAGTGCTCATGTCTGGAAATATGGATTTGTGTGTGTGTTAATTGGGGAGTAGGGATCAGTGGCCTTTATGTGAGAAGATTGCTTGGCAAGTTGTCCCTAGGTAAATTTAAATTAAGATACCCGTTATAGATACAAGTTGCATTTTCAACAATATGATTTTGTGGGCATATGACATAGGTAGAGTTGTATTTCTGGACCTTAGAGTGGCCTGGTTCAACGTAAAGTAGGAACTTGTAAGTAACAGGGATAACTAGACATATAGTTCAGGCCAGAGAGGAACACAAAAAACAGAAAATAATACCGGACAAAAAATACAGGCTGGTATAGGATCAAACAGGACAAAATCAGGATTACAAACAGGTAGATGAACAAACCAGTCTAGTACACAAATACAGAAGGTCAAGACTTGTCAAATAATAAGCTAGGTCAAAAACAGGAACTCAATCACGATAAACATACTAATGGCTCAGGAACCACAAAAGCAACCAGAGCAGCCAGAGAGCTTTCTTTAAATAGGGATGTTCTGAAAGTGATCGGCTTTGCTTCCTGGGAGTAACCAGTTTGAAGATTTTATGTTCTGTGTTGCCCGCAGAACACAAAACAAACAGTAATTGGATGGGAAGTAACCAGTACACTTTCTGAAATCTTCCCAGGGGGAGCAGTTTCTACTGTGGCACAGCATGCAATGTGCAACGCCAAAAACTGGGAAACAAGCGGCTCAAATAACCATACATCTCACTTAGAAATTATTGTTTAAAATCCCCTCTTTTGAATAGTGTTTTTGGGTATATATATATATATATATATATATATATATATATATATAGTTTGATCTGTTCATAGACTAGCATCATTATAAGTTTTTATTTAGAACTAAAAAAAATATATTTGAAAAAGATGTATACTGTTTTCCTCACCATTTATTTGACTCTGTACTATTATAGTTATTTTTAAAGTAAAAAAAAAAAGGATTTTAGAGGTCCAAATCACTGTCACTCTATTTCATTAATTAACAAAGAATTGATTTTTCTAAGTGAAAGAAAATACCTTTGTTTTGCATGAGAAAGAAAGATGTTATTTCTGGAGTGAAGTAAACATGTACGGCACCCAAAGTAACCTTCAATTTCATCACACAGACATGTGAAGATTAGATTCTCAGAAGCCCAGTTTGCTAAAAAAAAAGAAAAAAAAGAAAAAAAAAAAGAATACAAACCAATTCTCAGTCTAAATGGTATAAGGTTCTAGTAAGTTATAGGTGCATGCCAAATGTGGTTTTGTGAACCTTTTTTTTTAAAATGTATGATTAATACATTTCAAGGTCAGCATTTGTAATTATTTAAAAATTCAATATAAAAAGTGTGTCTCCTGCAATGGGCCCTGATTCTCCTATTGTCATGCAACTTGACACAGGACATGGCTGAATAAATTAGAAGAAACCCATCATTGTTATGGGACCTTAAAAGATCGATAAGTACATACAGGTGTATTCTGAAAATGTCAACACCAGTAGACATTTTATTTTGTCTTGATACAAAATGGCCGCTATATGTATGAGGCTCATATGCTCCTTCCTAGTTTTTAACTTCAAACAATTGAATCTAATTATATGAACTAATACATTTTAGAAACATTTGCTAGTATGAATATAATTACACAGAAGATTAATAAAATGATGTGTTGAATGCAAATTTCTTGTTGAAATGGAAGGATGGGGGCTATGAAGTATTTATCATGTACAGTATCTCACAAAAGTGAGTCCCCCCCTCACATATTTGTAAATATTTGATTATATCTTTTCATGTGACAACATTAAAGAAATGACAATCTGCTACAATGTAAAGTAGTAAGTGTACAGTCTGTATAACAGTGTATATTTGCTGTCCCCTCAAAATAACTCAAGGAAATCGGTCTAAATGAAAATGCTTGTTCTTGGGTAGAACATTGGCTTAAAAACAGAGTACAAAGAGTTGTCATTAATGGTAAATTTTCAAGCTGGACAGAGGTGGCAAGTGGTGTCCCTCGGGGGTCTGTTCTGGGACCCCTTCTATTTAACATGTTTATAAATGATCTTGAAGACCGCATTGAAAGTCATGTTTCAGTGTTTGCAGATGACACCAAACTTTGTAAAACAATACAATGTGAGCAAGATATTACTTTGCTGCAGAGGGACTTAGATAGACTGGGGACTGGGCACTCAAATGGCAGATGAAATTTAATGTTGAAAAATGCAAAGTTATGCACTTCGGCGTAAAGAATACACAAGCAACGTATACCCTTAATGGAAGCGAATTAGGGATAACAACACATGAAAAGGACTTGGGAATTGTTATAGACAACAAACTATGCAGCAATGTGCAATGTCAATCAGCAGTGGCCAAGGCCAGTAAGGTATTGTCATGCATGAAAAGGGCATTCATTCTCGGGACAAGAATATAATTTTGCCTCTTTATAAATCACTGGTAAGACCCCATATTGAATATGCTGTGCAATTTTGGGCACCTGTTCTAAAGAAGGATATTATGGCACTAGAAAAAGTGCAGAGGCGGGCTACAAAATTAATAAAAGGAATGGAACATATAGGCTATGAAGAAAGGTTAACAAATTTAAACCTATTTAGTTTAGAAAAACGTCGCCTGAGAGGGGATATGATAACATTATACAAAATATATTCGGGGCCAATACAAACCATTGTGTGGAAATCTATTCACAAACCGGACTTTACATAGGACACGAGGCCATGAGTTTAGACTGGAAGAAAGAAGATTTCGTCTAAGGCAAAGGAAAGGTTTTTTTTACTGTAAGAACAATCAGAATGTGGAATTCTCTGCCTGAGGAAGTGGTTTTATCAGAGTCCATACAGATGTTCAAACGGCTACTAGATGCATACTTGCAAGAACAGAATATTCAAGGATATAATCTTTCAATGTAGGGTAATAACTGCTTGATCCAAGGATAAATCTGACTGCCATTCTGGGGTCAAGAAGGAATTTTTTTCCTAGTTTGTTGCAAAATTGTGCTTCAAACTGGGTTTTTTTGCCTTCTTTTGGATCAACAGCAAAAAACAAATGTGATGTAGGCTGAACTTGATGGACGCAAGTCTCTTTTCAGCTATGTAACTATGTAACTAACTATGTAACTATGTAACAAAGCCATTAATGTCAAAACCATTGGCAACAAAAGTGAGTACACTCCTATGTGGTAATGTCCAAATTGGGTCAAAAGTGTCAATATTTTGTGTGGCCACCATTATTTACTGGCACTGCCTTAACCCTCATGGGCACAGGTTGCCACTGGAGTCCAAATCCACTCCTCCATGACGACATCACAGGCCTGGTGAATGTTAGAGACCTTGAGCTCCCCCACCTTCCGTTTGAGGATGCCCCACAGATGCTCAATAGAGTTTAGGTCTGGAGATATGCTTGGCCAGTCCATCACCTTTACCTTTAGCTTCTTTAGCAAGGCAATGGTCCTTTTGGAGGTGTGTTTGGGGTCGTTATCATGTTGGAATACTGCCCTGCGGCCCAGTCTCCGAAGGGAGGGCATCATGCTCTGCTTCAGTATGTCACAGGACATGTTGACATTCATGGTTCCCTTAATGAACTGTAGCTACCCAGTGCCGGCAGCACTCATGCAGGCCCACACCATGACACTACCACCACCATGCTTGACTGTAGGCTAGACACACTTGTCTTTGTAATTCTCACCTGGTTGCCGCCACACACGCTTGACACCATCTAAACCAAATAAGTTTATCTTGGTCTCATCAGACCACAGGGCATGGTACCACTAATCCATGTCCTTAGTCTGCTTGTCTTCAGCAAACTGTTTGCGGGCTTTCTTGTGCATTATCTTTAGAAGAGGCTTCCTTCTGGGACGACAGCAATGCAGACCAATTTGATGCAGCAGTGCGCGGCGTATGATCTGAGCACTGACAGGCTGATCCCCCACCCCTTCAACCTCTGCAGCAGTGCTGGCAGCACTCATACGTCTATTTCCCAAAGACAATCTCTGGATATGACCATGACGAGGCCTTTTCTGAGTGGAACCTGTCCTGTGTACCTGCTGCATGGTCTTGCCCACCGTGCTGCAGCTCAGTTTTAGGGTCTTGGCAATCTTCTCATAGCCTAGGCCTTCTTTATGTAGAACAACAATGCTTTTTTTCAGATCCTCCGAGAGTTCTTTGCCATTAGGTGCCATGTTGAACTTCCAGAGTGTGAAAGCGAAAACACCAAATTTAACACACCTGCGCCCCATTCACACTTGAGACCTTGTAAACCTAACAAGTCACATGACACCGGGGAGGGAAAATGGCTAATTGGACCCAATTTGGACATTTCTGTCACGGCAAGGGTGCATAATTCATTGTTGCACTATGGAATATTGTCATTTATTGTAATTTGTGTAGTGTATAGATGAAGTGGCTACTTGGTGGAGGTGGTATTGTCAATTCCAAAAGGGGTTAATTTGATTGTATGGCAGGGCAGAAGGTTTACAACCAAAATTCCTCTTTGAAGCTGGGACCCCAACAGAGCTACTCTGTAAGGTGTGAGAAGTCACACATAAGTGGCCTGGAAGGCTAGTTTAAATATAAACTAAATCTCTAATTTGCCATGTGTCTAGATTCCCTCTTAGATAGGGGGTCCTTTGATATGTGTTTCAGTATCATATCCAAAAGAAACATTACTACTTACCCACAGATTAATAATTAAGCCTCATTTCTATTATATTTAGAATGGGACAAGCACAGTCTTCTTATCAAGCCTAAACAGGAGTTGCGTAACTAACGCCGTTGGGCAGGATTGTGATGTCCGCTATATTTGGTCACAAGTAAGAAGTGTGACATGTCTATGGAATGGAAAAATAATAACACATTTATAGATGCAATTATTATTTATGTGGAAAGGAGATAGAAGAAAATGTTTCTATTTGGATTGATGTTGGTCTGGAACACAAGGGGATGGTCACTTATTGTCTCCATAGGTACGCCTTATCTCCACCTTTTGGGCCAGGCTTGGTAATCCACAGGGTATATATCCAAAGATATTGAGATGTGATGTATATATCCAATGTACTCGCTTGGGGCAAAATCTAAATTTGAGTAAGTCACCATCTTCCGTGCCAAAGACCCCTTGGGCAGAAGCTTTACTTTGAAAATCTAAGGAATAAGTGTTTAAGACTTCTGTTATTTTATCCATTTTGTTTTTATCTGTTGTTGGTGTAACTAATTTGATTGTCATCTACAGCTGATACTCGAAAAATTAGAATATCATGCAAAAGTTCATTTATTTCAGTAATGCAACGTAAAAGGGGAAACTAATATATGAGATAGACACATTACATGCAAAGCAAGATAGTTCACGCCGTGATTTGTCATAAGTGCGATGATTATGGCTTACAGCTCAAAAGCCTTGTTTTATTAATTGCATGTAATATTCTAATTTACTGAGATTGTGGATTTGGGGTTTTCATGAGCTGTAAGCCATTATCATCGCACTTATGACAAATCATGGCTTGAACTATCTTGCTTTGCATGTAATGCGTCTATCTCATATATTAGTTTCCCCTTTTATGTTGCATTACTGAAATAAATGAACTTTTGCACGATATTCTAATTTTTCGAATATTACCTGTATATTTCTGTATGCAATGTGACTATTTTTTGCTCATAATAAATATTCCTTTATTAAGTTCTGCCTTTGTCTGGTAAAGACTCACGTTACCTGAAGAGACTAATTAGTGTTTTTGCAATTGCTTAAATATTGTGGTAAGTTGTACTTTGTGGGTTTTTATTAGTTATTTACCCGATAGCCCGGTGGTGGCCGTGTTAAAATAGTAATATTTATATTATTGTGGTTAAGTGTGGGTGGTGATAAGTGGGATTTTATCATTATTTCCGGTCTAGTGCAGACAAATAGTGGACTTTAACCCTTTCGCCACCACAACTACGTCACGCACACTCTTGACGTAGGGTACATTCGTGAGAATTTCCACTTAGGGGTGTACTCACTTTTGTTGCAAATGGTTTAGACATTAAAGTGTGTTGGGTTATTTTGAGGGGACAGCAAATTTACACTGTTATACAGGCTGTACACTTACTACTTTACATTGTAGCAGAGTGTCATTTCTTCAGTGTTGTCACATGAAAAAATATAATAAAATATTTACAAAAATGTGAGGGGTGCACTCCCTTTTGTGAGATACTGTATATAATTTATATAGATTGTATAAGCAAATGTAAATGAATATATGTTTTTAAAAAAGGACGTATTCCATTTTGAGTAAGGTCTTAGAACTTTCCCTGTAGAGATGCATTGGTTCATAAATGAATAGTATATACTCAAAAAGTTAAAATACTTCATTTTAAAAGCATGTTTTTTGGCATCTCAAGAAGTCAAGTTCTGTAAGGGTGAAGAGAACTTTACTGTATGATAGACATCATATTTACAATTTCTTTGTACAGGATGTATTATAGACTTATTGGGCAGCTATTTTGTTGTTTTGATGTAACATATTGGCAGAATAAAAAAAAAACACATAAACTAATGTATTATAGTATGCAGATTATTAGATTTTTGAGCTTCTTTTAAGATGACATAAGTTTAAAAATTCAAACTCAAGTACTGGAATACTTTGATTTAATGTGCATGGATGTCATTAAAGATTTTACACCTCTGGATATGCAGATGGACCTTAAAAACCAACAATATTACACGCTGCTTGTTTTAAACATTTTTGATGATCTGTTAGGAAAGAAAAATGGTGAATAGTCTGATATTTGAAGTAAAACCTACGTACGAACAGTATGTATAGAGTCAGTATGCATTGGAGTCATGTTTTAAAAGAGTGAAAGCGAGTCAATGTAAGTTTGATCAACTATTTATTAAAGTGTGCATGGCAACATTGCTTAAAATGACCTGTGTAAAGGAATAATCCAAGCACCATTCTGCTACATTCGTATGGTGTCAAACCATTTTGAACATGTTGACATTTTATCTGGGGTCTACAAGGCATTGCTCCCTGCCCCCACTACCAAGTAGAACATTCCGTTTGCTCTTTTTAGCCAAACCCTGTTTTAGTAGAGACACCCAAAGGCATTTGGACACGAAATCAAACTGTTTAAAAAACCTATTACTCTCTTTATTTATTTATTTTTAGTCTTTTAATTTCCCATTGTTCTCTCTTTGCTAGTCCATCCCCTATCTTTGTTCCATGGCCTTCCTTCCCATTCCATCCCCATCCTCCCATTCCATTTCAACGCATTCCATACACACTTCCACCATTTTACGTGGAATAGGTAATCAATTTATAAACACACCACAAGAATTCTTAATCAGTGGATGAACTCCATATATGAATCATTTAGAAGCATTTTTCTACATTGTTCTTCCATGTTGTATTGTTATATAAAAATAAGTGAATTAAAAAACACACAGTAAATTTTACAAATCTAAGGAGAAATGAAAATTGTATTGAATTCTCAACTACAAGCATAAGTTTAGAATGAAACATCAAGATAAATTACTTCAGGATTCTGAAACAGGAAGCTAAAATGTGACAAGAAACGCCAAATTTGCTGACAGTAAACAGTAAAATGATGGTTAATAATTATATTTAACGTTATTTTCAAATTCAGTAAATCACCCAGACCAACAGGATACTTAGTGATGTGTACCCTACCACTATGAGTAAAAATAACTGAAAGCAAATATCGTTTACTTTTTATTTTTATTTTTTTTACCATCTTGCAAACAGCAGTCAATTATTTTGGAAATATAGAAGCAGACTGTTAGATGCATGAATGTTATCTGGCGTGGAACTACCATCACTGTCCCCATCTGAGTAATTATTTCCCTCTTACAAATTATGTTTCTTGGATTTTGTTGTTGGACCCGATACAAGTTAATTTGGCTGGTGTATTTTTGTCCTGTTGTTTCTAGTAGCTGAGAACGTCTTCTGCTATCTTGTGCTATCAAAATACAAACAATAAAGAGTATTCAAGGGTAGCTTTAAACATTTCTTAGCAACACATCAAAATGACAAAATATAAGAATGACAAAAAGCTTTAAATGGATGTTGGAAAATGATTACATAGAAATGAATTAGACAGAAATTGTTATAGTTATATTACTTTCTTTAGTCTAAACTTAAAATTTTATAAGTGCAAAAAAAAATAATAATAAAAAAACAAACTCAGTGTACTTCTATTTCTTTCACCAGACTGATGTAATGACATTTGGATAAAAGTACACGTGTAATCAGGAATACAGCATGAACCTTTGAACATTTTGTAGATTTACACCCACACCTTGGGTGGGCATAGCAAAACGCTCAATATTGCAAACAATTTAAAAATACATTTTTTTTTAGATTCCTTATATCAAAATCCTAAAATAACTGCTGTTAAGAGTGTTAAGGGAGAATTGTATTTTTTTTTTAATTTAAATGCTCATACTTTATAATCACATAAAATAAAAATAGTATAATTGTGCTGTTGCAGTTTAACTGATGAAGATGATTTGTTATCATTTGATATAGAGGAAAAGAAGAAAAAACTAACTGATACTTCTATATCTTATGATAACCGTGAGAATGTACATCTTAACCCACCTCCACAAAAAAAACTTATCTCATGATATTATGATTAGAGTAGTACAATTTTTTAAAAGAATTGGCACATATTTATTTTTAAATTTTTTTTAATTTTTAAATATGCGCAGTTTGTAGCCAAGGAATTATGGTGGATGGGAAATATGTTTCCCCACAAATTGTAAAATGTGCTTGGCTCAATTGAAACGTGTATTCTCTATTTACAATGTAATTTTCTGTATTTGGCAAATACAAAAAATTACTTTAGGCATAGGCTGCAAGTGGAAAATCCAAAAAGTATTTCTTACAGTCATTACTCAACTCACTTGTTGATTATTCGAGACAGCACTTATAAATCAATCAGCTGTGACTTTAAAAGGACACTATAGTCACCAGAACAACTACAGCTCTTTATAGTTGTTCTGCTGTCTATAGTCAGTCCCTGCAGGCTTATTGCTGTAAACACTGTCTTTTCAGAGAAAACTGACATTGAGCGTCTGCATGCTCTACATGGAGACAATGCACTTTCCCTATAGAAATGCATCTCTATGAGGAGATGCTGATTGGCCAAGGTGGCCTCCCTACATGGATGAGGTCACCAGGATTGATGATCTCAGACTTCCCAGTGCTTTCCCATTTCACTGAGATCATCAATTCTGACCCTATAGTTTCCTTTAGAAGAGAGTTTTGCAAGAAGAGAACTTTTAGCTTAATGTATCCTGTCTGTATGGCCGGAATCTTTATTTTGGTAATAAGAGGTCCAACCACATCCTTAGTTTGGCTTCAAGTTTTCTGTTTAGCAGGTGCTCAGTGAATGAAAGGTTTATTTATTTACTTATTTTTGTTCCTGCAACAGCTTAATACTCTGGTCACAATTGTACTCAACAAAATAAATAAAAAAAATACGTGTATTGTGCCTATAAAAATACTCTGTGTTGGGGTTGTTGACAGGATAAAGTAAAGAAAGGGAAATAATTTTGTCATAATCTCTTTCCCTCACAACTCTCATGAATAGATACCCAGGTACTCACACAAATTGTGGCAGAACATATATAAACCAATGGAAATGAAGCACTCTGGGATTTAAACAAAATTCTTGGTTCATCTGCAATTTAAGCTTTCCGACCTCTGACCTCACTGTCAGTCCTTACACTAGCTCACTATAATATTTAGGATCTAATTTAATCCTTGTCCTTGACTCTTCAGCTCTCCATAATACGAACCCTGTCTATATATCCTCAATAATAAACAAGCGTGTCCCAACCAAGTCTCTCCACCCAGATAAACAGTTTAATTGTTCATCTGTCTGTAGTCTTTTACTCTGACTTGAATGTAATTCACCATTACCTTTTGCTGAATATGATGCTGCTTAATAAGTGATATATATCTATCACACGATCTAAAACATATAATCTCAGACATAAAAGATCACCTTTAATGCAATAAAGGAAAATGCTTTATAGTTAACCTCATGGTAGACGTATATCTATAAAGTATAAAAAGATTAGAGACAAATATTTATTTCGAACATCAAGCTTCTGCTGGAACAGCACTTCCATAATCCATTAAGATGGAGAGGGGGAAAAAAT